CTGCGGCACTCGGTTCAGCACCGACTCAACGTGGACAGCAAACTTGATCTCCTGTGGGGTCATCTGCCAAAGGGACCAGCAGGGGGTCACGAGTGAACGGAGCACAGACACAGTCCTGTCACCCACGCTGCCCACAGCACCCAGTGGCTCAGCGTAAACGCTGCCTCCTTTCCGGCCACTTTGCTAATTCTGCCCACAGGAATCCTCTGGAGCAGGAAGCTCTGCCCTGGGCGTCAGTCAGCCTTGTCCTAGCATTAGTCACCTATCCCGCTGGACTGCGACTTCCAGGGGCAGGGCCATTGCTTATTTCTCTTTCTTCATTATTCCTTGTGGCGCATAGCATGCATGGTGCCTTGGGTGGTGTAAAAACTAAAAGATCAATTTTTTAAAAGAATGAAGGGGGGAAAGAAACCAGGGAAGATGACTGTTCTCTGCCGTGGGTCCAATAAGCATGGCGAGCAACTTTGCTCTTCTCTTAAGAGAGTTTTCAGAAACAAATCTAAAGATGTCAGTAGTCCAGACATGCTCCTTCTGAGGGGAAAGAGAAAAGATGATGCAACAAATGGGGGAGAAAAAAACTTTGCAAAACTTGAGGGTTAAGTGTCTAGAGAGATCGGATCTACAAATGCCCTGTCTGTATGTAACAAGCTTGAAAGAAGGGTGAGTGGTCAGAGTCCAAGAAATAAAGCACTTAGTGAAAACTCACGGCGTTCGGGTTTTTCCCATCCTACCTCTCGCGTCGTTGAGGATGGGAGCACATAACCGTCGATGGACAGACCGTGACACTGGAGGCAGAACACGTATTTCACATTTCAGTCAGATTCCAGAACGTGATTAAAAACGGCGCACACACACTCAAGTCGCTCTGCCCTGGAAGCCAGCACGAGGACCGGCACACGCCAGACTGTCGGAGTTATTTTTAGAGGGCTTGTTCTCACTGCCCACAGGCTGTGTTTTTCGATGGAACCAGCAGGCATCGTTCAGATCTCACCCGAACAACGCCCCAGGGAGCTGCCGGGTCCTCCTCTGTGGGAGCTCCGAGTTTCACTTGGCAACCCGGCCCTGGCGGCTGAGAGGCCCCCTTTGGTGCCAGATAAAGGGAGATGTACATGTTTCCTGCTGGCGAAGTGATACTTCTATGCCTTTGCAGGCAGCTATTTTTGAGATTGCTATAATAAGCACCAATCACAAAAGACTAGAGCACATGCACGCACACGCACACCCGTGTATATAAATAACCAGCGCTGGCTCAATACAAAATGCTGCTTTTTCATAATAAAAGCATCTTGGTATGAAGCTGGTGGAAGCCCGGCCCCAGGAACAGTTCTGGGCTCACAGGCTGCCTCCTGACTCCCTGTGCCCTGGAGACAGCAGCTGCACCGCCTCCGTCCCAGGTGGACTGAGGATGCAGCGGCAGCAAACGCTCCTTCCTCCTGACAAGAGGCCTCTTCGGGCCCTGCCCCCACGTGGGGACCGGAGTTCAGCTGTGAGGACAAGGACCCCTCTGACCTCTCCATGCCCAGCTCCACGAGGAGGACCTCACGGGGGACATAACGCAGCCGAATGGGGCCGTGGCTTCGGGAAGGGGCTGCAGTACGGGGTCTTAGGGATGCCTCTCCTCTCCTCGCCTCTTCTACTGTGAAATGAGCTAACAAAAATAGTTTAGGGAAAAACTCGGTCCTGCCTGTGGTTCTTGGTTTGCACAGAAGCTTCTCATGGAGGCAGACAGTCCCTCTGGTGGGGCCCAGGGAGACACCGGGACGCTCTGAGGCTGATGTGGGAGCGAGACAGGAGGTGGGGTGCAGGGACCAAGGGGCATGGCTCCTGCGGCTGTTCTGGGTCAGCCGGGTTGTGGCGTTTCATCCAGAGCGTTCCCTGCCTTCTCTGGTTCTTGCCTACCTTCTGACTTTTCTGCGTTCCTAAAATACGTCAAAGGTGGCCCCCCACAACCTGGGCTGCCACCTTATCTATCTTGTTGGGTTTCCAGCCAGTGTTTCTCAGCCAGTGGCAGTTTGCCACCCAGAGGACACTCGGCAATGTCTGGGGACATTTTGGTTGTCACACTGGGGGAGGGGGTGCTACCAGCATCTAGGGGGTGGAGACCAGGGATGTCGCTTAACATCCCACAATGCACAGGGCAGCCCCGGAAGTGAGAATTACCCAGCCCCAAATGTCAGTGGTGCCGAGGGGGGAGAAACCCCGCTCTAGGCCGTGAGCTACCTAAGGTTGGGGGTTATGCGCCTGTTCTGCAGCCGCCTGCTACCTGTAGGTCCCAGCACGCCTCAGCACCAGTGCCTATGGAATGCAGCACAGTGGCCAAGCTCACCTTCTGAAGGATCTTCCACACCTTCTGGTAAAATCCCACGGGGACCCTGTTGATGGCCCCGTCCAGCCTTCTCCTGCGCAGCCACTGGCCCTGCCGCTCCCCCCAGCCGATGTGATGCCCACCTGAGTCTGACGATGACGTGCCCGTGGGTGAGGATGGGGTGCTGGACCTCTGCAAGACAGAAAAGGCGCGGCCTTCAGAAGCCTCACAGCCGGCACCCCATGGCAGTGCTGGTCACCGAGAGGGCGGCTCCGTAAACCAGTCAACACCACCAGCTGGATTCACTCCTTCCTGCCCTGGTTCGTTTACTAAGCTCCTTCTGTGCACTCTTCCCAGCCCCCAAGAGGTGGTACAGCATAAGAAGCCCCTGACCCAACGGAGAGGCCGAGCAGGTCAGGGGGCGGGCTCTGGGGGGGCTGCGAATCCCGACTCCACATCGGCTGCTCCAGTCTCTAACTTGCCGCGAGCGCGCTCAGCCTCATCTGAGCAGCGGGGCCCAGGTGCGCACCCCGAGTGCAGATGCGGGAAACCCTGGGAGCACGCCCGGCCGTGGGGTCGGCAGGCACTGCTGCTGGAGGGCTTGGGGAGGCCTCGGACCTGGAGGAGGTGACTCCTCAGGCGCCGCAGCCCACGGAGACCAACGCCACAGTGACCGCTTTCCTCCTGTGGTGCCGCAGAGAGCGGTGGTCACTCCCCTGCGGTGCAGCTGCCACGAGAACACAACACAGCGCAGGGCAAGGCTCTGGAGCCCTGGAAGGAGGGAAGGCTGGAACCCACGTTTGTGGCGGGGCCTCAGAGGCTATGGTATTTCCACCTTCCTTTTCAATCGCTTTCTACTTTGCCTGTTCTCAGCACGGCGCTTTATCCTAATTTGGGGCGATGACCACCTCCGAGCCGGGAGCCTTTGCTGAAGCAGGAGGGGTATCACCTCCTTCCCACCTCCTCCCCGAGGCTGGATTTATTCCGGCCTCCACGAGGGAAGCGCTGGGGCAGGGCCAGCAGTTTTGCTTCTGCCTCGGGAGCCGCAGGCCCGCCCACGACTGCGGAGGCAGCTCTGAGAGGCTCCCGGTGGGGCCTGAGACCAGGCCTGAAAGCGGTTCCCTCAGCGGCGGCCTCCCTGCGGCAAAGCTCACACCTGCATTCTTCCCGCGGATGGATTCTCAGCCCTGGGCCTCTGGGTCGGGGAAGGGATAACCATCATCCTTACACATTATCTTTGTTCTGGACTATCTGGCACTTTCGTTTCTCAGTGTGCAACGTCAAATTTAAAGGTTTAAAAATGCAATCCCAATGTTAAGCAGGCCAGCAGGGCAGGAGTCTTCTTGGAGCGCATTGAGACTTCATCGGATCTTATTTTGAAAAGGCTGTTAGGCTGGGTTATTCCATTGGGCTCATTACTGCCATTTAAATACGGCAACAATTAGATACAAATAAAAGTAATTACAGCCACACTCATCAATGACTCAGCTGGTTTTCTGCCTCTAGTTTCGCAAGGATTCAGACTCGCCTCTGCAATGAGAACACTTCCTAGCCTTCCATCTCAGCTGCGGCCTCAAGCCAAGCGGGGGGGTGTGGGGGGGGCATTCTGCATACAAAGTGCCAATCAGCACGTGCTGGCAGTGGCTCACCCCTGTGACTCAACAGAAAGGCACATAACCACTGCCTCGAAAGTTCCAGAAGCTCCTGGGAATTGGTGAGAAAAGTGCTCCTCAGTCACACCCCACCGGGGAGCATAAGCAGAGAGCACAAGATGGAAAAACAGCTCAGTTCCACAGGTTCTCGGCTTTCTTTCTAGCCTCTACTCATAATCATAGTCAAGTGGAAACACTTAAACCTGTTGACATCTTCGGGAGTTAGGGAGGTGGTGGGAGCACGAGAAGGGCAACGAGAGGATTCAGACACCATAAACGAGAAGGAGGTGGCGAAGGGGACAATGGCTGGGACACACTGTTTACCACAGACTTGGAGGAGTGTGCGCTGCCGGATGGGGCCTGGCTCACAGAAAAGAGCTACAAAACAAAGAGAGTCCACTCAGTCATGTGCAATGACACCAAAGGATGCACGCAGAGAGAAGGAACATAGAACAGCCTCAGAAACAGCCAAGGAAGGAAGAGGCAGAGGATGCGGGTGGCCAGAAGTTCTCACTCACCCCCCTAGGCAGATGGCCTGCAGCGCAGCGGGCAGAGCTCTGGGCTCGCGCAATAGAGGTCCCGGGAAATGCTTTCCCTGAGTGTGGAGTATTCCCGTATCTAGTCAGATGTGGAGGGTGCCTCATCAAGTTAGCACACGACTTATTTTCCAAACTCCCAGCCATGAAATGCTAATCTTTTATGTTAATTTTGGAAAGAGGATAATATACTTCTTTGATGTAAGTGGCCAAATACAAAACTTGTACTGGCTAACTGAATCTAAACCCATCAAAGAAAAAAGGTGATCATTTTGTCCCCATAATATGTAAGGACGGCACTAAATGGAGACGGAAGGAACCACCCATATTCAGCCACAGTCAGCTGCCATCGGGATGTAGGTACCAAGAGGGACAGTGCCACCTAGTGGTGGGCACAGGAAGACGTTTGGAAAATCTGTTCCTTACTTGGAAAGAGCATGAATTCGAATGAGACAGCATGGACGTTTTTCCCTGGGACAACACAGAGAATCCGCGTGTCAGTATGTGACTCCTCTGAGCTCTCTCACAGAGACATTAAATCATTAGGAAAGGGACTCTGATCTTCTGGATGGAGGAGGCGAAGGAAGTATGTCACAAGGGTGACATAAAAGAACAGTATCCTTACATTTTTTTTCCCTTCCAGGGTTAAATTCCCCCAGGCAATCTAGGGACAGGAAGTAGCAGTATTCTTTCTACTGCTATAATCAATGACCACAATCTACCTGTCCCTATTTCTTCCCTTTTTCTGAACAGAAACTCCTGCCGAGGCAGAACCCGGGACCCTCTTTCACATAGCCTCCTGTAAAATCCAAGAGTTTGATACATGGATTTGTTTAAAGGCGCAGGGCAAGGTCATTTCTCTTGCTTTCAAGTCCAGTGCTCTGCCTGTCCCCAGGGCTGCCTCCCACAGCCTGCAGAGTCCCCTCCACCCAAGCATGTTGGGTGGGCAGAACCGTTCTCCACGCACTCAGACTCTGTACTCACAGCCTTGCTTTCCCCATTCAAGCCAGAAAGAACATGAAGCACAGTAAAGGAGGAAACAAGACAAAGATGTTTCACCTGTTCATCAGCACTAACTCGCCTAGTCATCTGAAAGTAAAAATACATCAGAAAATGAACAAAAACCAGTTGCAAATCAAGGATGCCTTACGACTTCTATCACCCTCTAGATTATCCAAGGAAGCGTTGCTCCAGCTGCAGGGTGTGACCCTCAGTGCCTCACAGACTCAATCTACTGTGTCGTCATTTGAAATGGAGAAGAAAATCCGAGTGCGTCTCTCTCTCACTGCAGGTCATGGTCAGAAGGAAAGAAACTATTTCCTACTGTAGATCACTGTCAAGTCCTACCACAGTAACCGGCACATTAGGACTGAAAGGCTGTTGACTTGCAGTCCTGTGGGATCAGTTGAGAAGGAACTTACTGTGAATTAAATAAAGGTGAGCACAAAAGAGACACCTGTGGATGGTGGAAAATAAAGGTATCTCTGTTTCACTTGAAGGACACATTTGATGGAGAGATGATTCAGTTACCTTTTGCGCGACTCTACTTTTTAAATGGCTGTGATCCATTTGAATGACTAGTTCTCGGGCAACAGGCAAACACGGGGAAGGGTATTTTCCAGAATGCTCGCATAACACCTTAACGTTAAGGACGAGCATGTGTTGGGTGCACGTGAGTGGCTCTGGGATGTCTGGGTACAGGGTGTGTTCAGATTCCAGGATAGAAGGGATGGCACATCCTTTACAAAGCAGGCTGTACCCTGCATGCCTTGGGTTTCTATCACTTTCTGAGTTGAGCCCAGATAGGAAGACCACTTCTTTCCTGGCGCCGAGAGCTCTTCTTACCTGTTTCATCTCACTCCTCAGCCTGTTGATGCCACTCCTCTCGGTTTTGGTGACTCCAGTATGTCCCACCTCATGGATGGAGATGGCAGGGCTGGATGTGGAGGAATGGATAGGCCGCACTGGGGGGGAAACACACACATGGTTCTTAGAAACGATATTTTGTCCACCCTGAGAGGAATACATGCATGTGCTTATTTTTTTTAATTAATTAATTATTTTATTTTATTTTATTTATTTTGTTTTTGGCTGCGTTGGGTCTTCATTGTTGCGCGTGGGCTTTTCTCTGGTTGTGGTGAGTGGGGGCTACTCTTCGTTGCGGTGTGCAGGCTTCTCATTGCAGTGGCTTCTCGTTGCAGAGCACGGGCTCTAGGCGCGCAGCCTTCAGAAGTTGTGGCTCACGGGGTCTAGAGCGCAGGCTCAGTAGTTGTGGCACATGGGCCACATGTGCGATCTTCATGGACAAGGGATTGAACCCGTGTCCCCTGCACTGGCAGGCGGATTCTTAACCACTGCGCCACCAGGGAAGCCCGCATATGCTTATTTTTATCCGTGTCTCTCTCCCACTTGACCATGCACCCCATTAGAGGTGGCCGTGTCTGCCCTGGCCAGCACTCTGTTTCCAGCACCTGGGGCAGCGCCTGCTACACAGCACAGGCTCAATATGTGTTTGAGTGGATGGGTGACAGAGTGAACATCACTTAAGCAGCATGCAGAAAACACTGAGTGGCCAGGAAACCCTTCAATGATTTGGATATGTTTTTTAAAATAATTTTTTACTTCTCCAAATGCACCCCCTTCCTTGCAGAAAACTGAGACCACCTAATTAAGGTCCAGCCTTGGGGCCGGAGAGGGAAGTCCTGGGAGAACAAACCGACCAAAGGCTGGAGGTGGCGAAGACACACAGAAGGGGCAGGGAGGATCCGTCACCTGGCTCTACTCTGCTGCCTGCCCTGCCCCGCCCCCACTAACCGGTTCTCTGCGGTGTGCTCACAATGATCATTCTTAAAGGCACGTGTGACCATGTCACTGTCCACCTGGAATCCTTCTTGAGGTTAAAGCCTCACAGGGGCACACAAAGCCCTACCGACTTGAGCCCACCCGCCCCTCTTAGCTGTCCCCTCCAGGCCAGCCACTCAGCACTGGGCATTGCACAGGCGGCTCTCCTGGCCTGCCTGCTCCCCTCTGCCAGGTGCGTCCTCTCCTTCTGCAGGCCCGACTCTAAGGTCACTTCCTCGGGCAGCATCCTCTGCGTGCCCTGCCTTCCCACCCACCCCACCCCCGAAGCCATGGGAGTAGGGCACTGCCCAGAGGACTAGAGACAAATAAGGAGCCAAAGGACAGCACAGAGGGAGGACCCACAAAGGAGACACGATGATTAGCCAGAGAGGGAGGAGGGACACCGGGAGAGTGGAAAACGGAACCCAAAGGGGTCTGGGAAGCTACAGTGGGGCCTGTATAGAGTGGGCATTAGCTGAAAATACTCATCTCTGACATCTCAGGATGTAATAAAAATCCTAAGACTATTTGAGTTTCCTGATTTATAAAAACTGAACAATTACAAAGGACAATTAACAAATAATGCTGTAGGCAAAAAGACAGGACCTCTTCTGGCCTTGCTTGCAATTAGACATATTTATGGTTTCAAGTGACATTACTCTCTGTTCCTACTTTCATAAGCTTCTATAGCTTTGTATCTAATAACAATTTTTAGTAATTATCTGTGTCAAACCACATACATTATTTTGATGAGCAGAACATATTAAATATTAATCTTATATATTTACATTTCAAGGACTGTGCATTTGAAAGACTGAAAATTACTTTTGGAAAAGGATTGTGACCATTCCTCAGGAAAGGAGAAAACCCACCAAAACACACCTGATCGCTCGACGCCGGTTTTGTTTGCCTGCTGGTGCCCACTCTAAAGAAAAGATCCGAAGTACCCAATGTCCTTATTAAATAAAAAGAATGACAGCCCACACTGCATTTCTTTGGCTTGATGAAATAAATTCACAGATGTGTCTGCAAATCATTTCACCTTTTTATGAGGAGGGTAAATGATAATTGCTTCAATTATAATTAGGGAGCATTTGAGAACAGAATTCCACCAGGACTTGGGCGATTATATTTCCTAGCACTGCAAACAGGGTTCCGGTACAGATAAAAAGTGAGAGAGAGCAAGAAGGGGACGAGGCAAACTCACTCAGCAAGAAGGTGCTGTGAGGCTGCAGAGGGCTTTTATCTGGGCCCATGAAGGGTGAAGGGGGTCTAACTGAAAACCAACCCACACTAAAGGTGGGGCCCTCAGGTGCTGGGAAAAGACAGCCCTTGCATGCTGACACCTTGGTCACCTCACCTGCTCCTAACCCCTGTGCACAAGTGACGGTGCCTGGACCAACTGCAGAAGGAGGGAGACCGCAGGCCAGGGTGTGCACCACGCCCACATGGGACCGCAGCTCTCCCAGCCAGCCGACGAGGGGTCACAAAGCCCTACAAGTCACAACCTTAAACCTAGAACTCTGTCCATCTCAGCGAAGTAGGAACCTTCTACCCAAACATTATGTCCCGAATCGCGATTGCTGATGTTGATCTGTACAGAAATGAAGCAGTTCCAGGCCACGCTGGACACGTCAGTCAAGCCCTCTCTGACCCCCTCCCCTCAGTAAGACGGGCATTTACTTACCGCTTCTTTCAACACCAAACTCTTTTCCACTTAAAATATGGTGTAGGAGATTTTTCATATCGAAAGGGCTGAGGTTCATCAGACTTTCAGAAGCTTCTTCTCCTACAAACAAACGTCGTGTAAGTGTCCCGACACAGGGCTGGTGGCAGGGGAAGGTAGAGTTGCGTGGGCGTGGGGTGTGGTGGAGACAAAGGGTACTGTGGGAGGTCTCCCTATTCAGGATTGCCTCTCTACTGCTTCAGGACTGAAAGGTACTGATCCTTGGTGATTCTAAATGCTGCTATTTAAGTTGTCTATTTTCTTAACTCAGACGCATGATTTTTCACACTGTAATAACCCCCAATGTTGGAATGCATCTTGCAGTTGATTTACATATTTAAATTGGTAGGATTTCTCCCAGCAGAGGTTTTATGAAATGGGGGGTGACATCTTACCACAAGGAGAAACAGTAAGGAACTCAGATGTCAGGAGCAGAGCAGAAGATTCTAGTGCCTCATTTTCCCTAACCTATGAAATTCAACACCCTGTGCTGGATGGTTTGGCGGAAGTTACATCTAAACGAGAGAATCTGGTGAAACCATGAGCCCACCCAAAGGCTCAGAAGCCCTGGTTCCAGAATACTTGGGCAGGGCTCCCCAGGGGCGGGTGGGTGCAGGAGCTGTGGGAGCCGCGCGTGAGAATCGCACCTGAACAGTTCAGGCTCCGCGCCAGCTCCGTGGCCATCACCTGAATGATGAGTCCAATCCGGAGTCTGAGCATCTCCACGAAGAGGCTGGGCTGTGCCCTGACATACATTGCCAGGTAAACCACAATCTCCTGACACAGACATACGTGGAGACAGGGCTTCAGAGACTGGCTGGTGGCGGAGAAGCCCCTGCTGCCCAGAGATAGCCCTGCCCCTCTGTGGCCAGCTGACCTGTGTGAGGACGGCGATGCTGATGTCCTGCCCGCTGGCTTCGTAGATGAGTTCTGTGAGCTCCTCGGGGGGAAGAGGCCTAGGAAGGAGCATCAGGACACAAACACCATGAAAGATGCCTCCTAGTCCTCTATGGAATATCCTCATTTTCCTGCTGGAAGCGCTCGAGTGACAGTGTCTATAAAAAGACTCTCTTCCTGAATGGTGGACAGCACTGATGTTTTCCCCCCAGGTACCGCCCCCAAACCTGAGGCCCCAGGTTGAAAACTTACGCAGAGATGGTCTTCTCCCGGGGTTCTGGCGGCAGGCCCACCGTGAGCTGCTTCTGGTGCGACAGCAGGTCCGTGCAGGCCTACACATTTAGGAAAAGGGTGAGGGGGAGAGAGATTAGCAAAGCCGGTGGGGAAGGATCACTGCCAATAAGATCATAAATTTACCTTTACAAACTTTATGACCCATGCTGCTATTTATTTGAAAATTCATACACAGAACCCAGACTGAGCAACCCAGCCAGAGTTGGGTCCCCGTGATCTTTGGGTCCCCAAAATGTGGCCCCAGGCCTGGCTCTGCAGGGCCTATTAGTGAGTATTTTATGCTCACCCCCTGTAGCAAACACACTGGATTCCCTGATATTCCATAAGGAGGATGAGTTGCTGTGAGTCCTAAAATACTGATGTTAAGAGTTAATGACCATATTATAGTCCTAAATTGCCCGTTTCCCCATTATTCACATATAATAAATACCATCACCTTACTAAAACAGTGAACTTGAGGACTTCCCTGGTGGCACAGTGATTAAGAATCTGCCTGCCAATGCAGGGGACACGGGTTCGAGCCCTGGGCCGGGAAGATCCCACATGCCACGGAGCAACTAAGCCCATGCGCCACAACTACTGAGCCTGCGCCGTAGAGCTCGAGAGCCACAACTACTGAGCCCACATGCCACAACTACTGAAGCCTGCGTGCCTAGAGCCCATGCTCTGCAACAAGAGAAGCCACCGCAATGAGAAGCCTGCACACCACAATGAAGAGTAGCCCCCGCTCGCCGCAACTGGAGAGAGCCCATGTGCAGCAATGAAGACCCAATGCAGCCATAAAATAAATAAATGAATGAATGAATGAATGAATGAATGGGAAAAAAAAGAACCTGAATGTCATAGAAAGCAATTCTGGCTTTTGCAGGGCCTTGGGGTTAAAATACTGATGATGATTGTATTACAGATGTGCAGAAATAAGAGAGCTCTGTTTAAGAGGGTGCCGGGCCACAGAGCATTTTCATTTTATTTCTCGGTAAACCCTTTTCTGCAGCTAAGAAGTAACAAAACTAATCAACTTGAATTTCAATTTCCTCTGCCTGTCTTCCGAGAGCAGTGGGAGGTCAGGACAGAAGGACCAGCTCCGTCTGTATATTAAACAACGCGTTTCCTTTACAAATGGAGGTGCTTGCCTCCAGCTTTCATAATAGGAAGACGGCACCGGGCTAGAGAAGACAGAGAGACACCCTTCACGTGCATGGTTGTTCTGACCTCAGCCAGGACTTCCACTTTCTTCTTGAGTAGGCCAGAGATGTAGCGGATCAGACCCCACTCCTGGTTCAAGCCGGCTTTTCCATAGAGCTCGCTGAGGAGGTTGTGAACAGTGACCCCGTGCTGTCCAGAGAGATTTGTGTCCCAGCTGGGACCCCTGTCAAGACATGGAAAACCCCAGAAGTGTGACCCAGAACGTTTCAAGGCCAGATTCTCTTGCAATAGAGCTCACTTGGCAGGGAGGGGAATGAATCTCCACGCATTCTGCCAAGTGCTTGGGGGCTTCCCAGTGCCTTTGAGTGTCACCGAGAGGGCTGCGTCGTCTTCTGTCTATTTGAAACAGAAGCCTAACATCAGGAAATGGTGAGATCCTGGCCTCACCCAGCCTTCTCATCTTGGGACGGCAACACTAGTAGGTAGAGAAGGGGATGGGAGTCTGTTCACGGTGAGTCTGGGTAGCTTGGGTGACTATGACCATGATGTGGCTTGCCGGAAGGCCAAGAAGCCTAGGACAAAGAGCAAGGAGAATAGAGAAAGCTCAACCTAGTGAAGACTACCCACTTACTTTATTACATACAGAATGTACAGAATGTCCGCTTGGTCCTGTAGGTTCGAACAGTCTTTCAGCTGCTCAGCCAGCTTCTCACAGTCTATGTTGCCGTGGTCATCTCTGGGAAACTGGAAGTCATCTTTGGGGGCCTGTCCATACAAAAGCCAAAGAGCAGGGGAGGGGGGCTGAGCATGCGAACTTCCAGAAGATCAGAAAGTGACACACCAACCTGGTCTTGGAACTCTGCTGCTGTGCTATGTTTCAGGTTTTCATTGTATCTTTTGGGGCTTTTTGTTTATACTTCTGATCGGTGAATCATTGCGTTAGTGGATGTTTGCATGAGACTGAACTGAACAGGTTAAAATATGTGTAAATTTTATTTATGTAAAGGTCAAAAAAGGCAAAACCAACCCCTGGTGTTAGAATTCATGCTAGCAGTTACCTTTTGAGTGGAGGGGGAGGAAGCGACCGGGAGGGACACAAAGGGCGCTTGTTACGCACATGGGTCTATTGGCTCAGTGATAATTCATTCAGCTCTATACTTATATTTTATATACTTTTCTCTATATATGTTAAACTTCAATAAAATGTTTTTTGAAGGCAAAACACACACGCAAAAAATGTTTTAAACAACCTAAAACTGTGGTTAGGTTAAAATAGTCTCCAACAGACACTGAATCTTTCTGATAAGATCAAAGCGAACTTTGGATAAAATAACAAAATTATGGGAACTAGTGGGGAACACCCTGGGATTTTATTCTCCAGAGGAATCTTTTTCTGGTTTTGTGCCCTGCTCCACAAGTAGCCCGGCTTTGGCTGGCTGGCACAGCTAGGACGGGGCTGGTAGTGAGCTAGCTCATTTCCTTTAATGTGACACAGATTCTGATGAGTAGACAGAACGTCAGTAGCCATCTCCTACACGCAAAATATAAAGGTTTGCATCAAATTCAGTGTGCATACTGACACAAACCAGAAGCCAGACAACTAAGTGAGTGGGTACACATCAAAACCCAGAACTTCTGATCCTGAAAGTTCTGGATACCAAGAAATGTGCTCTTTTGAGCTCAACAATTTAAAAGAGTTCTTGGGGCTACACCAGCACCAAAGAACATTACACTTTTTGAAAAAGTGATTCTAAATACTTTACCTTTTTTAGGAGTGGCTGAGGAGAATCAACAAGATTCAGCGATTTACGGTGGGCACTTAGAACTTTAGTTGGCAAAGCCATGGGAACAACTAGAAAACAAACGAATAAAGAGAAAGCTCTTCGGAGCAGGAGGAAGGATAAAATACTTCTTTTAAGAGGTACAGTGGCTACTCCCTATTCAGTACAAACCAAATAAGAAATGATTACTTACTTAGTTTCACTGATTTCGAAAAGAATTTTTCATGTGGCCACATCATGTGCTAACTCTGGAAATAAGAAGTGAGCAGGACACACACTGATCTTGCTTTAAGGAGCTGAATTCCACTTTTCTCTCTTAGAATTCAGGGAAAACTACATAGCATCTAGGACTGGAAGGAGCCTTAGAAATGATTGAGTCCAACTTCTTTTTCTTTCAGATGTGGAAACTGAGAACCAGAGAGGGTTTGTCCAGGGTTTGTCCAAGGTTTGTCCAATGACCTTGTCATTTGTCCAAGGTCACTGGCCTTCTCATAATCAAGGTGTACCAGCTTCCTGTCCATTGTGTGTTTCACTTTGCCACTGCTGGGTGTTAGTGCTTCTGTTTTTTTAACCACCTAATTAATTAATTAATTAATTTTGGGGGCTGCGCTGTGCAGCTTGCAGGATCTTATTAGTTCCCTGACCAGGGACTGAACCTGGGCCCCAGCAGTGAAAGCACCGAGTCCTAACGACAGGACCATCGGGGAATTCCCCTTTTAACCACCTTTAGATGTTATCAGTATTTATTCATTAAGCCATCTCTGTCTGCCAGGGTATGTTGTATCACCTTGGGAAAACAGGAAGCTTTCCAGGTAAAGATGAGGTATATTTAAAAGGCATTTATAGGGCTTCCCTGGTGGTGCAGTGGTTAAGAATCCACCTGCCAATGCAGGGGACATGGGTTCAAGCCCTGGTCCGGGAAGATTCCACATGCCGCAGAGCAGCTAAGCCCATGTGCCACAACTACTGAGCCTGCGCTCTACAGCCCACGAGCCACAACTACTGAGCCTGCGTGCTACAACTACTGAAGCCCATGTGCCTAGAGCCCATGCTCTGCAACAAGAGAAGCCACCACAATGAGAAGCTCACGCACCGCAATGAAGAGTAGTCCCTGCTCGCCGCAACTAGAGAAAGCACGTACGCAGCAACGAAGACCCAACACAGCCAAAAATAAAAAATAAATAAATTTAAAAATAAATAAATAAAAGGCATTTATAGACCTTCAGGTAACACTAGTGGATTAAACATAAGTTTTACTTTCTCTTAAACCCCCACTAACACTACAAAAAATAATTTAAAAAAAGGCAAATCCTAAAGAATAGGGAAGCAGGAGAGAAGACCATAGTAACATTTTGGAAGTGGGAAAGCTGAAGGGTGAAAACATTTAGTGGACACAAGGCAACCAAACCCAAGACTGCAGTGGGTAAAACCAAGAACCAGTCAGATTTATAACAGAGAATCCTCAGAAGTCTGAGGAGCTTGCTGCACCATGGACCTCTAGAACTTGGGGGTCCAGAGAGGGTAACCATACGAAGGAAGATGGAGGAGAAGGTGTGTGAGAGGCAGTGAGCTCCCTAGATGCCTTCTGCAACTCCACACAGCTTGGCAACTGCCTTGCTCACCCTGACAGAAGACTAGAAGGTCTCTCTGAAGAGGGTAAAAAAGGGGGGGTATGTGTGTCTCTGGAGGGAATGCTGACCCACATGTCTGAAGGTGTGGGTACATTCCTTGGGGGAATAAATGACTGTATAGCTCGACGCAATCAGACCCTTACAGGTTAGAAAGGAGATTGCAAAGGAGATTGCAGAACATCTCTGGGAAATCTGCCTCACCTTCACCCATAAACCCAACAGGCCCCATTTACGGGTATAGGCTTGGAGATTCTTATATGCACGAGCAGTTAACCAAGGAACACCCAGCACTGGAGGAAAGACTCTACTCTGGAAGACAGAAACCAATACAAACAGGAAAAATTGACTTGGGGGAAATGGAAACCATTTAGGGAGAAGAAAATGTAAAAACAAAAACAAAAAGCCCTGCCATTAATTCTCAGAGTATTAAGAATTATATTGCATTCATGAAACAAGAACAGATACAATTCAGAGACCAAAGATTTAAAACATGACAGCAAAAGTAGAAAAACTCAACTGAGCAGGTGGAACAAAAAGTTGAAGCAATTGCCCTCAGAACAGATCAAAAGACAGAGAAATGGAAGACGGGAGAGAAATGACAAAGACTTCTTCAGGAGGTCAACATTGGAATCATAAAGTACCAGAAAGAGAGGACAGAGAAAATGTAGGGAAGGAAATGAGTCAAGGAATTTTTCAGAAAAACTTTACAGGACTAAAAAACATAAGTTTCCAGATAGAGAAGGCCCACTGAGTAGCCAACACAGTGGATGAAAATAAACCCAGAACAAAGCACATCACTGAAATTTCAGAACCCAAGAGGAGAGAAAATCCCAAAAACTTGGAAAGAGAATAACAGTTTATATTTCAAGGATCAAAAATCAGAATGGGGCTTCCCTGGTGGCGCAGTGGTTGAGAGTCCGCCTGCCGATGTAGGGGACACGGGTTCGTGCCCCGGCCCGGGAAGATCCCACATGCCGCGGAGCGGCTGGGCCCGTGAGCCGTGGCTGCTGAGCCTGCACGTCCTGAGCCTGTGCTCCGCAGCGGGAGAGGCCACAACAGTGAGGCCCGCGTACCACACACACACAAAAAAAATCAGGATGGGTTCAGATTTCTCAGTAGCAACACTGATAGCTAGAAGATAATGAAGAGATGCTTTCAAAATTCTTAAGGAAAATTTATTTTCAATCTAGAATGCTATACCCAGCCTAACTCTCAAATGGAGAATTTGTAGATATTTTCAGACTTGAAAGGTCTCAACAATTTTACCCACCATGAACTGTTTCCTAGGAAACTACTGGATGTCCTCCACCAAAATAAGATAGTAAGCGAAGAAAGAGGAAAAGTTGAGATACAGAAAACAGGAGAGCTAACAAAGGAGACAAGGAAGTCTCCCAGATGATGATGAAGGAAGATCCCAGGATAAAATCTACATCCTGGACGTGGAGGGTAACCAGGCCAAAAGGGGCAGTGAACTCCAGAAACAAGCAAGTTAAGGGCTGTCATTACTGTGCCCTCTTCCATTGCACCATTTCTTAAAACCTACTGAAACTGTTCTAGAATGTATTCCACCAAAGGAATAAACTGAGAAAGGGGAACATGCCAGAATCAAGAAACAGGGAACCCAATTGAAGAGACAAGCAAAGGAGATTCCAAGGATAATAGTAAAGAAAAGACCCAGGATGCCAGGTACGCAAGAGGCTTAGAGTGCAATCAGCCAGATGGGAGGAAACTTTTGGACTCTAAGAAAAGCAGTGGAACTGTGAGATTCATACATATGATCTACCTTGTGGAAATTTGTATTGCGAGGCCTCTGGAAGGTGCAGAAAGGAAGCGAAGCAAACTAAAAGATAGGGCAACTGTTAACTTTAGAAAAAACGAAAAGGAAAAATGATAACGTAGTATATTATTATACTGAGTTGGGAATAATATTTGCATACATACAATGACAGAAATAGTGAATACTGATTTAACTAAACCTTAATACAACTGCATGGATAGGTTAGGGGAAGTGAAGCAGAGGAGTGGTGATTTAACACAGCTGAATTCCTCACCTGCACAAGAAAAAGTCAACAGATACTGAATAAAATCGACGCATCAAAAAGAGCACTACAGACACATTATTTAGAAATATGTAAATACCAGAAGAAACAACTAAGAGTTGAAAGTGGTTGCCTCTAAGTAGAAGGACTGGGGGCAGTGAGGAGGGGAGAGGTGAGGCAGGAAACAACTGCATTTTGTTGTCGTTTAGGATTCTTTGACTTTTACTTTATGCTCATGCATTACTTTGATAAAAGAAGTTATTTTAACAGGCAGAAAAGAGTTAATAATGTACATGGAATTTCCAAACCCTTTGCTTTTGCCATCACGGAAAGTATATCCTGAGTGGAGTAGATGGCACTGAAAACATGGCTGTCCTCTGTCTTCTTACAAAGAGGTGGCAGATAGCACTTCGAGGATGTGCTTTGCAGGAGGTGGTTGATATACTGGTCAAGTTCATCCTGGCTTTCTATAATTACACAGGTAAGAAAAAGAGCCAATGAAAACAAGCTGCAGAAATAACCTAAATGCATAACAGTGATTACGTGTAGCATGAAGTGCTGAGTAGATTTAGTGAAAGACAACATTTTGATATAGATATTTGACCTCCACTCTACCCCTACAAAGTAAAGAGATTTACATAGATAATGCATGTATTCATAAAGTTACTGTTTGGAAAAACTTCATCCTAGAAAAAGAAAATACAGGTCCAAATAGTGTTTACATCACATCATCCCAAGATGAGCTGAATATGTAGACAATGAGAGGGCCAGCAGCCAACATCTGATCTTTTGGTTTTAATTTGTCGAGTGAGCTAAGCATTATGGAATCCCCAGCCACAATCCCAAGTACTATCTAAAAGTGAAAAACAGGTCACTTCAACCCAAAACCTTCCTCAGTTTGAGAAATGTTATATACAAAGGATTTCATCACTTATATCCAGTCAAACCAAGATCATTCTACCATTTCTTTGAAAATTCAAGCAGTGTGTTTCTTTCTTTATATTTTGTGAAAAGTCCACATTCCTGAAACTCTTTGTCCCTCTAGGTTTAAAAAAGCCCCACTTTTACAGTTTAGGTTTATTAAAGTGGCATTTTATTCATTTTAATACGTGAAAGTTTCCAAAGACTTTTTTTGTCATGTTAATTACAAATCATTTTCTGTGCTTGAGTTTTAGGGCAATTTTATCACAATGCCAAGGTTTAAATAAATTCAGGGACCACCTGCAAAGGCATTCCAAGCCGTACCTTGATTATAGGTGTCTTCGAAATATCCTCCCAAATCTGAATCACTATCAGGACTGAAGCTCCCTTCACTGGTATCGTCAAACAACTTCTCATCACAGTCTGGATCCAGGAAGGTCAGATACGTGTAGAAAGAGGTGGTGAGAAATTCCGAAAGACTCCCTAATTTTACTCTGCCAAGGAAACACTATGTTAGAAATATAGGTGGATGTGGACAAAATTCCACCATGAATCATCGAGAGACTTTTCAATAACCGGGTGGCACTTCTGCCAGAATCAGTAAACACGTCACTCTGCAGATTGCCCCATACAAGTAGTCAGCCAAGAAATTAAAATGAAAATTCAATAGCAAGTATGAAGTGGAAGCACACAGCATATTAAAAGCCAAAATGCATCATGCTGATTTCTTATTCCCAAACCCAACACAAACAGAAATCTATTTTATTGAACCAACCAAAGTTTTACAAAACATACTGAGCGAACCACTTTTAACCAGAACCAACCCTTGGGTATTTTTTGCCCTAAAACAACTGAACCACGACAAAACCACAAGCAACGATTCTTTGGGTGCCCTCGTGCTACCTTTTATGAGTCCCTATCACTCAGCCACACAAGGCCCGGGGGAGGGTGGGGGGAAATGTTGGGAGAGGCACGTCTCAGAGCCAAAGTTCTCTCTAGAAAGAATGTGATGGCCGGGCCATCCCCGGATAGAGACAGTGGCCCAGAGTGGCCCTATTATCAGGCTGGGAAAAGTTCCACCGAAAACTGGGAGCTGGGTTTGGCAGTATGGGGTTCTGCTACAGCATTCCTGTTTCTTTCCATGGTTCTCTGAATTGTTTGCCATACTCTGTAACCAGGAGGCCCTCCTGATTCCTGTAAGCCCTCATCCAGCTCCGTATGGGGTTAGAGCCCCGTTTCTAGATTCACACAGAGCTTCTGCACCTACTCATCTTGTGCCCCTGGCTCTCTGAGCCTACAGATCCTTGCCCATAAAATAGGAATACAGCCTACACGACAAAGTGAAGACAACATGCGACAACAGGTGCAAAGCCACAAAGAACACACTGCAAGTGCTCAATTAACTGCACACGGTATCCTTTTGACAATGATTAGATTTCAGTTAAAGAATTCATTTTGGAAAACAGTTAATTATGGGCGTATGGTATTGTCTCTCGGTTATGACACCACATGCCAGGTGGTAACTTATCCAAGCTGGATATGAAATGTACGAAAGCAGATGCCAACTGCAGTTATGGCGCCAGCCCTGGGAGCTGGATAGCAGAATGCTGGGGATGGCCTCGCTGACACTCATGAGAGAGGCCAGGAGAAGCTTGGAGTGAGGGCCACTTCGAGTCTACAGCAAAACCCGCAGCGAGCTTGGTGAGCAGAGGTGCCAAACCCAGTGCTTAGAAATCCAGTGACTCAACCCTGAGGACATCAGCCTAAGTGAAATAAGCCAGTCACAAAAAAAAAAAACAAGTACTGGATAAGTCCACTTAGATGAGACACCTAGAGACAGAAAGTAGACTGTAGTTGCCAGGGGCAGGGGTTGGGGGAGTTTCAGTTTTACAAGATGAAAAGAGTTCTAGAGATTGGTTGCAAACTATGTGAATATACTTAACGCTACTGAACTGTACACTTTAAAATGGTTAAGATGGCAATTTTTATGTGTAGTTTATAATTAAAAAAAATTACTGTGGCAGCAGGGTCCCTGGTGTGGGAGGATGTGACAAGAAGGGCTGACTTCAACTCCCAAACACTTTTAGCAACTGGCACTCCATCAGGACCCAAACGGCAGCCTCCCCAAGCTCGGGAAAGGCCACACATTACTCAGGCCACCTGCATGGTGAGGTTATCCTGGGGCCCTTCTGGAATATTCCAGGAGATTCACAGAGATCAGGGCATAGATGCTACTGAGAAATCCTCTGCCTTGTGACAGTCATGGGGTACAAAAACAAAAGGGGTTTCCATGGGAGGTGAGCCCCCATCCCTCAAGGTGCTTAACTGTAATAGCTGGGAGCACCGGTTGGACTGTGGGCCTGCAAACCGGAATGGGCGTCGTTCCACAGAGGATGAGGGGACCGTGGTCTAGGGAGGCCCATTCAGGTGCTCTGCTCTGAGGGCCACGAAGGAATTTGTAAAGTTCTGTGAATTATTCTTAAGGCATTAGCACACTCAAGTCAATTCAAGGAGTGATTTGATTATTGAGCAGCACCTGCCAGATCCTAGGCAGTGGGTGTTTTCTAGCACGCCTTTTAGTAGAAACAGACACAGCATTCCATACATGCATTCCGAGAGTGCCACTTCAGAGAGACTTGATATGTTCATCTCTCTATGTCCCAGGCCTCCTGGCGTCCATAAAAGCTTCACAAACACCCACCAACTGATGCTTAGAGATGATTCCAGTTTCACACGGGTGACTGGATTAGATGTTTTAACTCCCTTTTTACTCTAATGCTCCACGCTTCTATGTTCAGCAAGTGATACGAAAAATGGGAGAAGGGCAGCAGAAGACTTTAAGAAAGGTCAGTGTTACTTTTGCTTTTTAAAAAAAATCACAAATTACCTAGCTCCTCCAAAATATCCATCCTCTAGTTTTCGAATTGTAGAAAGAACAGCAGAATGAATATCTGAGCCATCGTTTGCTTAAAAAAAAAAAAAAAAAAAAAAAGACCAATTAGTTTACTTAATCTGGGAATACTTTGTTTGGTTATGCACTGAAATGTTTCAGCAACAAAATCTAATTAAAATATGTATGGCACAGAAGATTCCCGACCTAAGAAACCTAACTGCTAAGAACCCCCTTCAGTACTTAGCTCTGTCCATGGGACTCATTTTAAACATTTTGAAAAGGGTCCAAACCACCAGTGGGGCATAAGTCAAGCAGATCAAGTTCATGGAGTTACTGAGCATGGTATGGGTGATAGGGAAGGTGAGCGTGGGTCTGCCCGTCATCCGCCAGCAGGTGCACAGGTAGGCTAGCTCGATCCTCAGCATCTCCACGATCATCTCATTGTCCAGGGCCAGGTAGAAGTGATGCTGGTCAGTGAACTGCAAGTCAGAACAGGCCAGGTTCAAGGCTGTCCTTCATTTCCCTCGACATAACCCCAGCTGTCATTCACGGCAGCACTAATCCTTGCATTTTGTTTCCAGAGAAGAGGCTCAACCCTGGCTGTAATCCGCCCCCATAATGGGGCTCTCCTCGCAATCAGACAAATCGATCTGTCGCCTGCCCAGGAGCCAGGGCTACGTTAGTGCTAGCGCAGAAGGGAAAGTTGCACAACTAGATCTATTTACAGCTCCTTGGATGGGGATTTAAGGACCTGCCCCAATACTGCTGTCCCTGAAAGTAAATCAATAACTCCTTAATTCCTACACTGTCCAGGGCTGCTGGGCTCGGTGATGTTTTCCTAGTGGGGCCACTGAGAGCAGGTGAGACGTGCAGACTGTGTTTACCTGATTCATGGCCTGGTTAATGTGAACTAAAGGCACTGTTGCCTGATGTTGATGAAAATCACTATCGTCCTGGCCTCTGGACCAGTGCACGCTCAGTTCTGGTCTCAAATTTGTTACGAAGGGAAATAACTCACAAGATTTAAGCAAGCAGCACAGGCTGGGTGAAAAAGAGCAACTTGAGGCTACTGACCCATGACCCTACAGCCCAACTATGTCCCTAGGCAGCTGGGGGGCTATGCCCCATGTTGACAAAGTGATCCCTCAGTTGGCCTTTCTAGCTGCCCAAATGGATGAAAAACGCTTCGTTTGCATTCCACAGGACTAGTTTCCTTTGGAAACAAAAACTCTGAAGAAAAGTTCCATAATCGGTATATTCAGGATCCTGTCAAGGGGGTTGAGACCTGAAAAATCAGACTTCCCATGTGGGATCCTGCTGACAGAGGACCTGCTAACAGCCTAAGCAAGGGTTAAGGACTATTGCAATTAGGGCACAAGGGCTGCGAGTCAAGTGGCATGTCACTAGCGAATTTGTAAAGTGGTATGAATTTCATACTGGAAGCGATGGCACGCTCATTTCGATTCAAGCCGCATTTATTGAGCACCTACCACAAGTAAAGAACTGTATTAGGTACTGGGTGTCATCTTATGTCTCTGTTTGAACACACACATGCACATTCTGCCACATTCAAAGTACCTCTCCAGACAGAAAAGACAGCTTAATAAACAGATGCTTGTTGGTTTGTTACTGGCCTGCTCTTCTCACCTGGGGTGTGAAAGTGAAGATTTGGTTCCTAATCACATATAATTTAGATGTTCCAAGGACTCCAATGTGCCGATATGGTCGCCCACTCAATTTCATATTCTTATTCCGCCCTATTTAGAAAATAAAAGAGAAATTCGCGCTACAGCAAATACAGTGACATCTAATCCAAGTGATTCTGGCTAAGACTGGGCTTATTTATATGTTAAACAACTCACTTGGGGGTTTGGTTTTTCTAATACTGTTATCCTTCTTTGGGACAAGGATGAATTAAAAACAAATCCCACCCCCTTCTTTTCATGCATACAGAAGAACAGCACCCGGTACAACATCTATATGGAATAAAATTATTAAAAGGACTTTATTAATGTTCACTTTTTATTTATTTAGTATTGAACCATGATCCTAAACAAAGTCAGATTTTAGAAAAAGTAAAGAGAACCCATCTCCAATTTTAATGGGTAAATGAGCATTTTCTTAGACCACAGATAAAATTTAGAAACATGACCAAGACACAAATGACTGTCCAACTGTGAATTTTCAAAGGTGGCTCCTGATTTTACAACAGATCTGATGAATCACACTGCCACCTGCGGTGACAGCTCCTGAACAGGCATGAGAGGAATGTGCTTGGTGGCCATTCCTCTTCACGTGGAAGCTGTCAAACCACCTACTTTAGTGCTTTGCCCAATTCCTTTGAATTTACACATATCACAGTCTCCCCCAGACCCCAAACCTAGAACCGATATGCCCCCTCGCCAAAAATGCCCTGCTATTTCCCCAAACCTACCAAGCTTGGCATATATGTGACTAAGAATCCGGCCTGGCTGGACTCGGACTGGATGAATGTCTGCAATACTCTGCATGCTCACCCCATGTTTCCTCAGCAGCTCCTTAATGTGCTTGTTTTCTGCCAGAACAGTCACTGTGAACAAGAACACAGCACCTGCATTACACGGTGGCCCTCGTCCCCGCACACGGATGTGTGCTGCTGTCTCCTCTCCTCTCTGGCCTGTGACAGCATGCTCTCCACGCGCTGGGTGGTTTTGAAAGGGAGAGCGCTTGTCCTGTTGTTCTTCCTGGTTCGCTCTGGCCTTGCCTCCCCTCAACACCCACAGTGCATGTTTATCAAGTGCCCTCAATGTGCAAGACAGTCTGGGACTTCTAGAAATGGTCTTCAACAGGTCCCAAGCTGAATTACCCATCTCAAATGATGTCTTGCCTCCCTGTGGGTCTGCATTTATTCAAAACCTGTCTTGTGTTCTTTTCACATGGGGTCAGGAGTGGAAACAGCTTTGCAAAGGGGATACCAGAAGAAGTCTGTGCCTCTGCTCTCAAAGACAAAAGAGCAATATAGTGGTGTGTGCAGCAGGGGATGCTCTGACCGAGGGGGAGGGAGGGGGAGGGGGAGGAGGTTTTATGCTCTGGAGAGAAGGAAAAGTGGGCCTACCAGTGGGCTGGTGGTAGTGGGGCAGCCTGGCCCACTGGGAAACACAGCACAGGGCCCCCCACTAGTAGGGAAGAGCCACCCCAGAGCTGGGCCACGTACCCAGTGGGCCGGCCTGAGCCCCATCTCCAGTGAGTGAGGCTGGGCATCTGGCTCTCTAGCAGGCAGGCATGTGGGGGCCGGAGGCGGGCTCAGACCGCCCCCATACCTGCTGTACCAGAACTGCTGGCTTTTAAGAGAAGGGACAGGGCTTCCCTGGTGGCGCAGTGGTTGAGAGTCCGCCTGCCGATGCAGGGGAAACGGGTTCGTGCCCCGGTCCGGGAAGATCCCACATGCCACAGAGCGGCTGGGCCCGTGAGCCATGGCTGCTGAGCCTGCGCGTCCGGAGCCTGTGCTCCGCAACGGGAGAGGCCACAACAGTAAGAGGCCCGCGTACCGCCAAAAAAAAAAAAAGAGAGAAGGGACAGTGCTTTGGCAAAAGGAAGGAGTCCTGGGGAAGGAACTGGAGAAAGGGAGTTCTGGCCACAGAGAGAGTGGCCGGTGCTGTGTCCACCTGCAGCTGAGCCTGCCAGGAACTGGAGGGGCTCGGGGCGGTGCTCAGGCCAGAGGAAAGACTTCGTTACTGTTAAGGTAGCTCCCTGAGCCCAACCACTGTACCCTCAGGCTGGTGGCACCTGAACGTATGATACATATAAATGCCACTGGGACCTGAATGTCACCTCCTTATATTTACATAGCACATGATGCTGTTTCAAAGTATTTTAATATTCATGATCTCATCTGAGCTTCACAGCAAGGCCCTGAGGGGAAGCCTTGCTGCTCGACTGGCCAGCTGTAGCTGAGCAGGGACTGGAAGCTAACCCCCCAGGCCCCAGCATGGGAACATCAGCCGTGCAGGACTGGGCAAGCAGCTTCCCTTAACATCCGTCTCTTTGGAAGCTTACGACACCGTGCAGAGATCTCCACGTATCAGAGCCACAAGATGGTCACTCTGTAGAAGTGACTCTTTCAGACGAGTGGCTTGACCAAGACCTGTGAGCCTGGAGATCTGAGAGAGCTGCACGCAGAGAAGTTTCTGAAACTGCACTTCTCCTTACTCCAGACCACAGCCTCTGATATATTCTACTCTGTTTTCTTCTATTGCATTAAAAAAAAAAAAAAAAAAATGGTGATCAGAATCCATCGATGCACCCCAGCCTGCAATTGCAAGAGCGGCCTTGTGGACTTAAGGGATCACTTAGCAGCATGTGCTCTGGTGACGGGCAGAGACTGTGGGGTCAGGCTGGATCACGCCACCTGGATGTCAGAGCTGGGTTTGCACCTCCAGCTGTCAGCCGTGGGTCCCTGAGTAAGTTAACCCCTTAGCCTCATGTGTAAGAGGGGGATGATAATCATGATCGGCACACTTTCTACCTGATCGAAATGTTGTGATGGCTGGGTGCGTCTCTCGGTGGGCCTGGGGCACAGTATCGACTGGGTGATGACCTGCACGACCTCTGCTGTATCACAGACAGGCACAGCCAAATGCATCCGTGGCCACAGAGAGGGTTGCCCTTCATTTGCTCAATAATTGTTTTTAATGTATTGAGTGCGTATCAATCAACATAGAAGCTACAAAAATGATAAGGCCCTTGTCCTTAAGAAATGTACAGTGTCCTCTAGAGGACACAAGGCATAGTCATGACACGCTATGATACTTAGCTGGTATATAAGTCACTCTATGAGGTTTGTGAGCTCCTGGGGAGTCATTCCTAGGAGGGGAAGTAGGGAGAGGAATCGGCCAGCAGGGAGCATTCGAGGCCTGGCCCTGCACTGAGGGCTCTCCCTGTGGATCTCAATTCCTCTCAAGACCACCCTGTGAGAGAGCACCGGTCATGAGAGCCCGAGGCACACAGAGGTGAAGTCACATGGCTAGTCAGAGCCAGTGCCGCAGCAATAGCCCAGGCTGGCCTTGCACTTCTGCGGAAGAGTTGCCGGCTGGAGAGGAGGGGAGATGGGTGGAGGGAGGTGAAAATGTGGGCCTGCAGCTCTGGAAAGAAGTCAGACCTCCAAGGGAGGAACGAGTGAACCCTCATTTGGGTTTTGAGTTTTCAACAAGGTCACGTTCTACTTTTTAAAGAATAGCAGTTATGAAAAATGATGCTCAATGAATCACTTGTGCCCCAGTTGCAATCAAGGTTTAGATTCAAGAAACAATTGCTTTGTAGAAAGTAACTTTGTGATCGGAAGCAGCTGAGTTACAGAACATATTTCACAGAACTAATATATGCTAAAATATATACAGATGCAGAGTTTTTAAAAATTACATAGGAACACTTCGCTTTAAAAATAACATTGGTTTTACAGAGTTAAATATGAATAGTAAACATGCTCACAAACCTTGTACTACGACATCAGGTTTGACGGAAGTGGAAAATCTTCTATTTAAGGGATCAATTTCACCAGTGGCAAGGAATCCCTAGGAAAAGAGGAGCATTAACATTATGAAATACTGACTAACTGAAATTTCACCTTAAAACTAAGTTTGAAAATAAAATATTTGGGGGCTCAAAATCTTCAGTGTTTTATTCCTTTATAATTTTTCAAGGCAATTGCTTATTTTCTCTGAACTACAGTATACCATTTAGATGGCACTGATAAATGTATTGCGTTTTTGGCACCCAGCTCTCCAAGGCTAGTCAGAGACGCCAAACTTGTGTGAGTGAAAAGAACAAGGGTAACTCATGCTTCCTGAGCCCTTACCCCACGCCAGGTACTGTGCTGAGCCCTGTACATGCACTGTCACACAGGCCTCCTAACAGGGAGGCACCATTTCCACATCTTACAGGTGGGGAAACCGAGGCAATGTCCTTAGGGTAAGGACTTGGCCCAGAGCCTACTGTCCTGAAACACAAAACTCCCCTGCCTGCTGGCAGAGTGCTCTTTGAATGTGGATCTCCTCATATTTTCTATAAATGATGGGAACCTTAAGAGAAGGGATCAAGGTGTTCTGGGAGTTCTGAGGAGAAGTTGGACCTAATGCTGGGCCTAGATGAGGGCCTTTACATTGAGAGGAGGAAACAGAAGCAAGTTTGTTTCCCATGTCACTGATACAGAAATCAGAGCTGCACCATATTGCAGAGATGATAACGCCCAATCTCTTTAAAGATGAGGAAATGTGAAAAAAAAATCTATATTTAAATAAAGCTGTACAACATTAAAAAAATAATAATAATAAAGATGAGGAAACTGAGGCCCAGGGAGATTAAGAGACCTGCCCGAGGTTAAAGAGCTAGTCAGAGGCAGGGTTGGCTTTCCAAAGGAGATATATGTGCTTCCCTACTCATAAAGACAAAAGTATAAGACACAGTCTCCACCCCCAAGAACATGTCCAGGAAACTGCGGAGATTTATCATATCCATGAAGCAACTACTCAATCTCAGCACCTAAGGGCCAGTTGCACTGTGATAGCTTCACTTGGGTCTTCCTTTCACCCACCAGGAACTCCAGTGACATCCAACCCATTGCTCCCCTGGCTTCCCCCGCCCCCCACACCCCTCCCCAGGGGTCCAAAGCACTCAGCTGGGCAGGATCCTCCCAGGAAAGATGAGCCATCCGATAAAAATCACTCACACTTAGGACTGGGGAGGGGGATTCATTTTTAGCTGGCACAAAAGCATTTGTATTTTAAAAACTTAAACCTGGGGGCAAGAAAATGCTTAACAAGAAGGAATGAGTCAGAGGCAGCAGACCTTCTGTGTGGCGGTGTTACTGGCTGAGGGAGCAGCCGACACAAAATCCACTACAGAAGAACCAGCCCACTGCCCCTTCCTGCAGAGAGCACTGGAGCGTCAGAGTCCTCCTGCTTCCTGCACCTAAGACCCTGTGGAGTAGTTCCCCAAACCCTGCATCTTTCATACATGTGCTGATCCTGGCCGAGAAGCTTCGGGCCCTCCTACCGACCATCAACTCAACCAGGTTCTAGCCACAGACCAGGAATGCTGGTGGGAAGGGGCGCTGGGGGAGGGACAGAGAGTACTTGGCTTGCAGCTAAGCCCAAAACGGTTTACTATAAATACGGACACAAGCCTAGGTCTCAAGCCTCAGAGTCAACCCCAACCAGTTGACTTGAAAGCCATGAAGATGCCAAAGACGGGTGACTTCCCTGGCGGTCCAGTGGTTGGGACTTCACCTTCCAGTGCAGGGGGTGTGGGTTCCATCCCTCGTCGGGGAGCTAAGATCCCACATGCCTCGCGGCCAAAAAACCAAAACATAAAAAAAAAAAAAAAAAA